TAACCAAACTTCACATTTTTTTCATGTTTCTGAAAATGTTGAAAGCTAATGAGCGTGGTGGTATGCAGGAATACGTTGTAGACGCTCTTGCGAAAAAAGCTGTATTGCTTGTTACGCATCAAGTGGATTTCTTGCCTGCTTTTGACTCTGTCTTGGTAATTTGATCTTTAAATCATGAATTGATTTTTTTTTCAGTTTTTAAGGTTTGCTTAATCATTTGGCTTATTGTACTTGTTTCTCTAGCTGATGGCAGATGGAGAAATCGTTGCAGCTGACACTTACCAACAACTGCTATCCAGAAACAGAGACTTTCAAGATCTTGTCAACGCTCACAGAGAAACGGCTGGCTCTGAAAGAATGGCTGCCGTAGACAACCCCATAAACCAAAGCAAACCGGTGATGGAAATCGACGGAGTCTCTTTGTCTCACGGTCGTGAAACCGAGTCGTTTGATCAAAGAGGAAGAGCGAGAGAAAGGAGACACAGGGTTGAAACCGTACATACAGTACTTGAACCAGAACAAAGGTTACATATTCTTCTTCATAGCGGGCCTATCTCAGCTCATGTTTGCACTTGGACAGGTTCTACAGAACTCTTGGATGGCTGCAAACGTAGATAACCCCCAAGTTAGCACTTTGAAGTTGATCTTGGTCTACTTGTTGATTGGGCTGAGCGCAGTTCTCTTCTTGTTTGTTAGATCTATCTGTGTTGTGGTTATGTGTATGAGGTCATCAACTTCTTTGTTCTCTCATCTTCTAAACTCTCTTTTTAGAGCGCCTATGTCCTTTTACGACTCCACTCCTCTTGGACGGATTCTTAGCAGGGTAAGCGCTGATGAACTTGAATTGATGATCATCAATGTTTGCTGTTTGGTAATGAACCTCTTTAACAGTGATTTTCTGTTGCTTTGCAGGTCTCATCTGACTTGAGCATTGTAGATCTTGACGTTCCTTTCGGCCTCATATTTGTGGTTGTGGCTACGGTATACACAGGTTCTAGTCTTGGAGTGTTAGCTACTATTACTTGGCAAGTCTTGTTTGTATCTGTTCCCATGGTTTATCTTGCATTTCGTTTACAGGTCAGCTTCTTTTTCTTCTTCTTGACTTTCTCTTAAAGACCTCAGCTTCTCTTGAGCTAAGATTTCTTGGTTTTCTTTCTTTTGATATGGTTATACAGAAGTACTACTTCCAAGCAGCGAAAGAGTTAATGCGGATCAATGGCACGACAAGATCTTTTGTGGCGAATCATTTAGCAGAATCAGTAGCAGGAGCGATAACAATCAGGGCGTTTGATGAAGAAGAGAGGTTTTTCAAGAAAAGTCTCACACTCATTGACACAAACGCAAGTCCTTTCCTCCACAGCTTTGCAGCTAACGAATGGCTGATCCAGCGGCTTGAAACCGTCTGCGCCATTGTTTTAGCCTCCACTGCCTTCTGCATGGTTTTGCTCCCTACAGGAACATATACCTCTGGTGCGTCATCATAAAAAAAAAACACGGTAATTACATAGTCACTGTTTGCTTATCATTAGTGTTTGTTGTGTTGTACCGTGTTGTGCAGGGTTCATCGGAATGGCCCTATCATACGGTTTATCTTTGAACCTGGGGCTTGTTAATGCCGTACAGAACCAATGCTACTTAGCTAACTGGATCATTTCGGTTGAGAGGCTTAACCAGTACACACATTTATCACCTGAGGCTCCTGAAGTTATAGAAGAGACCCGACCACCGGTTAACTGGCCGGTCACAGGCCGAGTCGAGATATCTGATTTGCAGGTTTAATACATTTTTCACTCTCCTTAATTCAGAGAATGAGAGTTTTACTCATCTTATAATGTTGATATACAGATAAGGTACAGACAAGAATCTCCATTGGTTTTAAAAGGAATTAGTTGCGTATTCGAAGGAGGGCACAAGATTGGAATCGTTGGTCGAACCGGTAGCGGAAAGACGACTCTGATCAGTGCTCTGTTCAGACTAGTTGAGCCTGTTGGAGGAAAGATCGTCGTTGACGGCGTTGACATCTCCACAATCGGGGTTCATGATCTGAGATCAAGGTTTGGGATTATACCTCAGGATCCAACTCTGTTCAATGGAACAGTGAGATATAATTTGGATCCTTTGTGTCAGCATTCTGATGCTGAGATTTGGGAGGTACGTACGTCTAACTAAAAACTCATGTGATACTAACTATGAATCTTACGAAGAAGTTGCTATAAAAAGACAAAATATTTGCAGGTTCTTGGGAAGTATCAGCTGAGAGAGGTGGTTCAAGAGAAAGAGAATGGCTTAGATTCATTAGGTAATTCAGTTGTTTTTTCTCAAAGCTGAAAAAGTGGTATTTTATTAGGGTTTTTTTTATTATCTTTGTGTAGTTGTGGAAGATGGATCGAACTGGAGCATGGGACAGAGACAGCTGTTCTGTTTAGGCAGAGCAGTTTTGAGAAGAAGCAGAGTATTGGTCCTGGACGAAGCAACGGCGTCGATAGATAACGGCACAGACTTGATACTTCAGAAAACAATCCGGCGAGAATTCGCCGATTGCACCGTCATAACCGTCGCTCACCGTATTCCCACCGTCATGGATTGTACAATGGTTCTCTCCATGAGCGACGGTGAGTGTTGCATCACTTCAATTTCTGGTTTTTTTTTTCTTTCTTTTTGCTCTGTTCTGTATCATGAAGTTTGTGTGTTATGATGAGGACGATCTTTTTGTGGTTTGATTGAAATGTAGGAAGAATTGTGGAGTATGATGAGCCGATGAAACTGATGAAGAAGGAAGATTCGTTGTTTGGGAAGCTTGTGAAAGAGTATTGGTCTCATTACCACTCCGCTCCTGACTCACGTTGATGATGAGACAAAATACTAGTAGAGAACCCGCACGTTTGTGCGGTGTGATGTTGCGGTTTTGTGAAGAAAATCTAATATCTTAACCGTTATAACTTTAACCTCATATTGTATCAGGTCATAAAATCCTACCAATAATTTTCATGTAATTAAATAATGTTTAAGTAAAATAGCATGAGTTAAGTCATTCATAAAGTAATTAGAAATAAGTATGTATTATTCATTTTTAAAACAAACTAAAACATTTAAACATTCCTGAAGTGCGGTGAAAAAAATAATGATAATATTATAAATAGTGAAACACTATACATAAAATTAGATATGGAACTTTCACCGAAATTCAAACTTAAACACATTATAAAAAACTTGTACAAAATCGTTCCGGTTTTTATATCTTTAATAAATCCAAAAATCTGAAACCCGTAAAAATTTTAAAACCCGAAAACCAGGAAAAACCATAAAAACCCGAACCAAAATTTTTAAAAAAACGAACGATTTTTATATCTCTAAACCCGAAAACCCAAAACCCTAGAAACATGACATGTACCCGACCTGAAGTCCAAGACCTACATAAAATCATATAAAAATTGTTTTAGATAACATAACATTTAATACATAATTTAAATATTAACAAATTGAAACTTTTAATTATAAACGACTTTTCCACTTAAATGAAGTATTCTAATTATCATCACCTTAATTAAAAACAAATAATAAATGATCATATATATCGAGCACTACAAATAAATAGTAAATAATTGTAGATATTAAACTCTATCTTACTTTGGTCTGATGGTTTCCTTTGTCATTTTGTAGTCGCAGGACACGGGTTCAAATCTCAATAGTTATATGTTTAGTTTTTGACTTTTTTTAGTGAATTGGCAAACTACAAAAATACCCCCATCTCTTTCTCCTTTCCCTTCCCTCGACTCTGCAAAACCTGATTCCGACATCACTATTCCCGGAAATCTCATCTAATCTCCTCGTTCAGCAATCTCGGTGGCACTCTCGATTTCCTTCCTATAACCTCATATCCTTTTTTGTATGAATGTTAAATCTCAAATTCTTACTCGTCAGATTTATCACATGCTCCTTCTCCTCCCCGATCAAAATCTCAACAATCCGAGTATAATCCGGATCGCAGTGTTACCGGATTCAAAAATTTAGATTTTGAATCAATTCTCGATCAATTCAGTTGCTGGTACCCGATTTCCAGCGACGCTGATTTCATAAAAGCAGTAGCTTTAGAATATAATTGGAAAAAAGAGAGGCTATGAAGATCTATTGCTCCCTCATCCTCTTCATCTCAAGCTTTTAGCAAGCGATGATTGTTCCATCATTGTTCTAGATCTATTCAGGTACAGAAGCTTCGACGGAGATTTGGTAGGTGGCATCACATATTATATAGTAGTAGTTATGTAGGGTTTCTATCGATCATATTTCTTGATTATCAAGGTTTAATAATATCGATAGATCATTATGTTAATTTTTCTTTTTTGCAGATGTTCTTAGATCTGGAAAAGTGAAAGTTTTCTGATTATGGCATTATCGATGGGTTTCCATTTCTCAATTTTTGGTTTAGCAGAAAATACTTTTTGGTTTAATAGAACCAAATTGATAAAAAAAAAGCAACGAACACGGTTTGATTTAAGTGAATAGATCCGCGTCCCAAAACCAAGACATTCGGGTCGGATATTCCCGAGTTACTGAGTCAACTCAGTCGATTAAAACCAAAATTGCCCCTTATTAAACCTGTTGCCAAACAGATTTTCTTTATAAATAGATTGGTTTTTTGGTCCAAAAATTATCAATGTACTTCTCAATTAATAATAAAGAGATGTTAAGGGATATTTGTAACAGGATGCCTCTATGGTCAAAAAAATATTTGTTACAGGATGGAATTAGATGAAACTTAATAAGCTACATAAACGTTAACGACAAATAGTTGATCAAGATGAATGTTAGTTGATAATTGAAAGTAACTGACTCATATTATGTGGATTTTTTTTTTTTTTTTTTTTTTTGGGCTTTTAATAAAAAAATTTCTTCCATTAATAATTTTTCTTTTGACGCAGAACCCGTCTTCTCGCCTGCTTCTCCTTCCCCAATCTAAAGCGCTTCTCCATCGAATTCGCGTTTTTCTGCAGATCATTCACATGCACGGATTCCAAAATCTGCACAGAGCGAAGACGGTAATCATGCTTTCCTAAATCTCGAATTTTCTTCACCCCTCTAATTAAATTTCTCAAAATTGCTTCTTCTCTAATGGTACAGAAGAAAACGATAGCTGATGCCGCAAACAAAGTGGATCTAATAGACCTCTCTCGATCCACTGTGAAACAGAGCAATGTGTCTTCAGCAGTAACCCTAACTCTCGAAGAAGTGATAGTCGACATCGAAGCTCGTAAGTGGTGAGAGTGTTCTGTCGCATCGCTCGAGACTCTCAATGCCGAGGAAAAGACTTAATCCATAGCCAAGGCAAAACGGATTGAGACGAAGAAGAGGAAGAGAATATCGATGAAGACGCTGCTCAAATCGAGTAAAGGTAGCTTCGACGAATATAGCAGGCGGCAGAAAGACAATGGTTTGCAAACAACTTTCTTCTTTCAAGAATTCAAGTTTTTAATATTGTTCGACATATGTGCTTCAAGTGTTTGTGGTGTTTGTTTGTTTATCAGGTTGCTACTGTCATGCTGTTGTTCATACTATCAGGTCGGGTCAAAGCATTAACTTACTTTGTAAGCCTCCTCTTTACTAGGTTTACTCCGTATTGATCAATGTGGTCTGATATATGTTGTATGTACACATTGTTGTAGGCGAGAAGAATAAGGAAGTGTATTACTTTGTGAGGAAGGAAGAACGAGAGAAAAGGGGAAGAGAGACGACATTGGGTTATTGGGAAGACTGTGAAGAGGGAGAAGTAATGGAGTCTGGTGGTGATCGTGGTTGTAATCATTTAGAAGGAAGGAGAAAGCCATTTGCTTTCTATATTGGAAAAAGACGTCGAGGAACAATAACTCCATGGATTATCTTTTAAAGTGATTATCTTTCGGGTTTTAACAGGCAGGAAGAACACAAATCATAGCTACGCCAAGACCAAATGGTATTACTTCTTGTGTTTTCTACTGCTAGATTCCACAATTATTATCAAATTCTAGAAATTAGTGAAATCTTGTTTGTGAAATTTCAGATAAAGATTCTCCATTTCAACCTTCAAGACATTCATCAATCCAGTCTGAAGCTTCTGAAGCCATTGAATCGACAGCTACAATAGAGAATGAAAACGAAGGCTAAAGAAATCTCAAATCTCCATTTTGTTTGTATGTGAATAAAGCTCTAAGATTTTTGTATGGAACCGCAGGTCCTAAACCGAGTTTATCACAGAGTCTTCCATTAGTGTCTCAAACTACTACTCCTCGGCTCACTCCTTCTGGTTCTCCACCAACTCTATCTGCTTCCACGACCCCTAGAACGACTTGGAGACGTATCTATCCTTGACGCCACTCTGTATCATTCTCTACCACTAGAGACATGTTTGATGATAACATATCTTCTATCTCAATCTCAGAGCCTGGTTCACACATAGGTCAGTGACAAATCGGAGCTTTTCTTGTGGAGGTTCTTGAAACAATACAATTGTGAACGGTTTGCTCTGTTATTTTCAGGACGAACTCGGGTTGATGGGAAAGAGTTTTTCCGACAAGTTAGGCAAAAAAGACAACTAATCCTGAAAACTTCTTACAAGAAAGACTCTTTTACATTGTGTAACAGTATCGACATCTTGTTATTGATTCTTGATCAGGAGCCGGTTATCTTACGAACAGTTTGGTGCCTTTCTTAGAAATGTGGAGGATCTTAACGCTCACAAGCAAACAAGAGAAGTAAGCAGAATTTTCGCCTAAGAGCATCTCTAACCCACCATCAAATATCCCCTTAAAAACTATTATAGTGTAAAATTCATTTCCAACCCACCCTTATTTTTTACATTAAAATGAGGGAATACTATTTTTTCCCTCATTTATAGTGTAACTTTATTTCTTCCCTCATTTTTTGATGTTCATCTTTTTTATTTGCAAATTGATCCTTTAATTTTCATTTTTGTACTTTTAACTTAAATAAATCATAAAAATCATTTTCTTTTGATTTTTTACTAAAATTAATCATAAAACATTATTTTAGCAAATGGCAAGATTTATATTATACAGTTGGATTATAATCCTATTTTATTCATTACAAAGTAAATAATATAAAACTTTAGAAAATTATATAAATGATAAATTATTGATAGTTTTTTGTATTTTTAATAAATAATGTAATTTATTTATATAATAATAGTTTTATTTAAATAATATACTAATTTATAGAGTTTTTTTATGAAAATAAAATAAGTGGGGCTTATTTGTAAAACTTATAAATATAAAGGTTTTTAAAATAAATTTGGATTAGGAATATATTTAGAATATTCTCTTTTTAGTGTTAAAAATAAGGGAATACATTGGAGAGAAACATCACACCATTCTAAGGAAATACTATAATAAGGAAGAAAATAGTGGAATACATTGGAAATGGTCTAACACCAAAAGAGTATCACAACTTTTTATTTGGTTAAACGAAATATAAAATACTGTTCATAATTAAAAAAAACAAATAACCCGCGTGTAGAGCGGATTCTCTCCTAGTTAATAATAAAGAGATAATCTCGAAAAATGTAATTGTGATTTTAGGAAAAACTGTATTGCGTGACACAGTCTCCAATGAAATAAAACATTTGATAGCACAAAGATTCATACATCAAATTATAAGCGTTGACCAAAACCAATTCAAATCTGATGACGTCTACAAAACCAGTCAGGTCACTCATAATTGATCATGTTAACAGCCAAGTAACAGACCTTTACCAATTTAATATTTTAGATAATTGGAGAAGGTTAAAATAAAAAAGAAACATAGTCATATAATGGCGGTCTCGATCTACTAATACTCAACGACCCACATTAATCGAAAAGTCTACTTATGTTTGTTTGGAAGGATTTGGTTGAGAGTTATTTATCCCCACACGCCTATTGACTTTATGAGCATGAGCTGGATTTTTATGTCTTATTAGGGGTCCCCTCTTTAATCTAAATAAAAGTATACGAGTATAGTATATTGCTTGTAATGTGGACGGAGACAGATCTTGGGAAGAAATTTTAAAAACAATTTTTGTTACAGGTTTTGTGGAAAGCAGTGCATAAGAAATGCATCTTTGGGTTTGGGTCAATTCATAATGATATAATTAAGCTGTATGTTGGTCATTGTTTACAATTTACATTTATGGTAGCTCCACAGGATTAAGAGACATAAGAGCGAGAGCACAAAAATTTAGACACACATCTATCAAAAGATTAAGGGGATTAAAAACCAAAGCAGTAAAAGATATGGGTGAAGAAAAAGGGCCAAGATGCTTGGTTTCTGATCCAGGCAAACCTCACAACCTCTCCCGTCGAGCCGGTTATAAAATTAAGCATGACTGCTTTGTGTGCGGGGAAAACAGTGTGGTCGACGAAAACCGCTTGGTCGAGGAATACAGAGAGTACGAGGAAAAAGGCTATTTCGAGAGGAGACCATTCCTGGAGGCGTTTGAGCGTAATCGTTACCATTACTACTGCGCCAAATGCGATCTCGAGTTCCACAGTGAATGTATTAAGTTTCCAAGTAAGATGATTCATCCTTACCACCCTCAACACCCTCTCACTTTCACCTTTCTTAACTACGAAAAAGGGATCATGGCCGACACCAGTTTCCGTGAATTCTATCACGTTCTAGCTTCTTTTGAAATGGATTTGGCTGAATACCTCAAAAGAATTCGGCCAAAATCCAATATTATGTTTGATAAATGCACTTGGTGTCGAAACCATCTCGGGGAGTGGTTCTATCGTTGTTCTATATGTAACTTTTCCTTGGATTTCCATTGTGCCCAAAAATTTCCACCTCTTACAATCCAAAATCCAAAAAGCCATCACCATTCACTCACCTTGTTTCCTCGACCTCTCTCATTTCCTTGTGATGCTTGTGGGTTGATCAACGTCTTGGAACCAAGTTATGCATGTTACCAATGCAGTTACGTGGTTCACAAGATTTGTATTGATTTACCCCGAGTTATAAAGATCACGCGTCACCCTCATCGACTATCCTACGCTCCTTATCTTCCTACCAAAGTTTCCTCTTGCCGGGTTTGTTACAAGAATATGGACATCAAGTATGGTCACTATTCTTGCAACCATGAGGATTGCTCTTATGTAGTCCATTCAAAATGTGCTACCCATGAAAATATATGGGATGGGAGAGAATTTGAATGGGAGCCAGAATCCAATCAAACTGAAGATATCCCACCATTCATAGAGGTAGGTAAGGATATGATTGAGCATTTTTGTCATGCTCACCATATTCTAAGGCTCGAGAAATCTGTCGACTCAGAAAAGCAATGCCATGCATGTATCCGTCCTATCGGTTTTCGTGATTTCTACAATTGTATCAAATGTGACTTCTTACTCCACGAGGTATGTGCTAATCTTCCACGGAACTTGATCATGCGTTGCATAAGCACCCTCTTTTCCTAGACGCGGAGTCTCTATGTTCGGAGTACCGGGACTCAAGTTGCTCAGCTTGTACCCGATTGTCGAGTGGTTTGAAGTACAAATGCAAAGAAATAGGATGTATGAGTCACATTCAGCTAGGTATTACCTGCATTTTAGTTCCTGAGTGTTTCACCCATAAAAGTCATGAAGAGCATCTCCTATTCATCTCCACTACCAACGATGAAATTATCTGCCAAGGTTGCAATGGGAGTATTCAAGGGGATCATCTACATTGTACTGAGTGCGAATATTCGATATGCTACAAATGTGCCACGATTCCAAATGAGATATACCACAAATATGATGACAGTCCTCTCTCCCTTTGTTACGGGAAAAGTGATGTGGACGATGATGAGGTGTGGTGGTGCGAAGTATGTGAGGAAAGACTAGATCCAAGGGAATGGTTCTGCACAACAAATAGCGATCAATGGTGCACCACAATCCACCATGAATGTTTATTCGGAGATTCTGCTTATTTGATGGCTGGTCAGATGGCTAGTCGTTTCGATGTGGAAGCTGTTGGCAATGCTAGTAGCTCTCGTCCCATTTGTAGTATATGTCACCACCGTTGCCCCCAGCCCGTGTACCTCAGAGTGCACAGTAAGGACTGGAGCAATGTAAGATCTATTGAAGAAGAAGATACAATTCTTTGTTCTTTTCGTTGTCTCTCACACATCCCTCCCCTACCGCCCCAATAGCTTCCCCAACATATTTGATTCTGTTTCAGATTATCAGTTTGTTTGTTTTGTTATTAACTTTTGTATTCAGACCATATCGTTGAAGAATAAATTTCTTTTGATTTCTATATTTTCCTCTATTTTGGGTTTCGATATCAAAGCATGACAAAACCGATATTTATCCGATTTCTTAACATATAAAAGTCTGCGTGTATATATGCTTTAACGGCAAAATAAATCCAATTCATAGTAGTACAAGAAGAATCTCAAACCGGTTCTGCACGTTTTACACTCACAAAAACATTGGTTTCTGTGACTCTCATATGTTGTTCCACAACAAAAATAAATCGCTTTTGGACAAAGAGGGCTATGAACCGAATTGGGTCAAAGACCCAGTTAACTTTTCCAAAATATCATCGGACTGATTTTGACTGAAGGGGAAAGTAGAAAACCATATGCCTTGAAAAAGCTTCGACCTTTGTGGTTGTTCGGTTTTCCACTCGAATCGATCTATAGTGCTCTCGCCTCCGAATCCAGGTTTGTTCCCATCTGAAATTACTTTGGCCTTAGAATCGTGAAGAGATTTATAAACCCTAACTAATCTCGATTGTAGATTTATAAACCCTAACTAATCTCACCCTACTTTGGATTGTGGCAGAGGAGATTTTGTCGCCGGTATAAAATGATGATCATGACATGGCTAACTGGAAAACCCAGAAATAAGATTCTTTATAAAACCAAAAAAGCAATAGACTTGCTAAACAAGGTACCGTCCGTTTATATCTGTTCTTGTATAAGTTTCATATACACATGCACTTTTAGCCTTCAATCCCTAAGGATTTTGCTGATAGATGTGTACACAGCAATTCGGTCGTTGAGAGAATTTGCCGATTGCACCGTCATAAGTCATAACCGTCGCTCACCGTATCCCCACCGTAATGGATTGTACAATGGTTCTCTCCATCAGCGAAGGTGAGTGATGGCATAATATTAAATTCATTTATTTTTCATTGATTTCAGCGGAGTCTTGAAGTTTGTTGTTGATTGAAATGTAGGACGAATTGTGGAGTATGATGAGCCGATGAAATTGATGAAGAAGGAAGACTCGTTGTTCGGGAAGCTTGTGAAAGAGTATTGGTCTCATTACCACTCTGCTGACTCACGTTGATGATAGACAAAACAAAATATCGAATATGTAATTGTGATTTTAGAAAAAGCTGTAATTGCGTGACATGCTCTCCAATGAAATAAAATATTTTGATAGCACAAAGATTCATACATCAAATCCTTTTACACACAAGCTTTGACCAAGATCCTTTAACAAAAAAAAAAACAAGCTTTGACCAAAACCAATCCAAATCTGACGTCGATAAAACTAATCGGCCACTCATAATTGATCGGTGTTATATATCCTGTTAAAAGCTAACAAACATTTACTAATTTACAAAGTCGTATAATTAATGGCCGTCTCGATCTACTCAACGAACCACATACTACTTGTTCGGAACAAGTTGTTCCGACAAAAAAAAGATAAGTCTACTTGTGTTTGTTTGGAAGTCTTTGTTAAGAGTTAATATCCCCTCACGCCATTGACTTTAATGAGCATGAGCTGGATTTCTATGTCTTATTAGGGCTCTTTTAATCTAAATCAAGTATACGAGTGTAGTATATTGCTTGTAACGTGGACAGTCTGGAGACAGATCTTGGGAAAAATATAAAAACATTTTTGTTACAGGTTGTGGAAAGCAGTGCATAAGAAACGCATCTTTGGGGTTGGGTCATTATAATAATGATATAATAAGCTGTATGTTGGTCATTGTTTACAATGTATTTAATGTAGCTCCACAAGATTAAAGAGGCATAAGTGTAAGAGCACACATCTATCAAAAGATTAAAAACCAAAGCAGTAAAAGATAAGATATGGTGATGAAGAAGAAGGGCGGAGAAGATGCATGTTTCTGATCCAGGCCAACCTCACAACCTCTCCGTGGAGCCGGTTATAAGATTAAGCATGACTGCTTTTCGTGCGGGGAAAACAGTGTTGTCGACGAAAACCGCTTTATCAGATAGAAAACAGTGGGAGATGAGGAACTGGTGGTACGACTCTTACGTGGAGCAGATGGAGGCTATTGATTCCATTACTACTGCACCAAATGCGATCTCGAGTTCCACAGTGAATGTTACAGTTTCCAAGTAAGATGATTCATCCTTACCACCCTCAACACCCTCTCACTTTCACCTTTCTAAATTACGAAACTGGGATCATGGCCGACACCTAGTTTCCGTGAATTCTATCACGTTCTAGTTCTTTTGAACTGGATTTGTTGAATACCTCAAAAGTATTCGGCCAAAATCCAATATTATGTTTGATAAATGCACTTGGTGTCGAAAAATCTCGGCGAGTGGTTCTATCGTTGTTCTATATGTAACTTTTCCTTGGATCTCCACTGTTCCAAAAACATTCCACCTCTTGCAATCCAAAATCCAAAAAGCCATCACCATTCACTCGCCTTGTTTCCTCGACCACTCTCTTTCCCTTGTGATGCTTGTGGGTTGATCAAGCGTCGGAGCCAAGTTATGCATGTTACCATGTGTAACTACGTTGTTCATCACTGCTGCGTTGATTTACCCCGCGTTATAAAGATCACCCGTCACCCCCATCGACTCTCTCTCACTCCTTGTCTTCCAACCAAAGTTTCAACATGCCGGGTTTGCTACAAGAATGTGGACATCAGATATGGTCAATATTCTTGCAGCCATGAGGACTGCTCTTATGTAGTCCATTCAAAATGTGCAACCCATGAAAGAATCTGGGATGGGAGAGAACTCGAATGGGAACCGGAAGAATCCTATCAACTGAAGATATGGCACCATTCGTAAAGGTGGGCGAGGATTTGATTGAGCATTTTTGTCATGTCACCATGTTCTAAGGCTCCAGAAATCTTTGGAGACTCAGAAAAGCAATGCGATGCGTGTATCCGTCCTGTCGGTTCTCATGATCATTTCTACAGCTGTCTCGAATGTGAGTTCTTACTCCACGAGGTCATGTGCTAATCTTCCGCGGAAACTTGATCATGCGTTGCATAAGCACCCTCTTTTCCTAGACCCGGGTCTACGTGAAGTACGGAGGAGTTTATTTGTTTTGCTTGTTCTCGATATTCGAGTGGTTGGAAGTACAAATGCAAAGAAAAGGATGCACGAGTGGCTGTCAGCTAGATATTAACTGCATTTTAGTTCCCGAGTGGTTCACCCATAAAAGTCATCAACAACATCTCTTATTCATCTCCACATCTTACAACGCTGCCGATGAAATTCTCTGCCAAGGTTGCAAGGGGAGTATTCGCGGGGATCATCTACATTGTACTCTATGCGAATTCGCTATATGCTACAAATGTGCCACAATTCCAGATGAGATATACTACAAATATGATGAGCATCCTCTCTCCCTTTGTTATGGGAAAGTGGTGTGGATGAGGATGAGGTGTGGTGGTGCGAAGTTTGTGAGAAAAGATTAGATCCACAGGAATGGTTCTACACAACAAATAGCAGCGATCAACGTTGCACCACAATCCACCATGAATGTTTATTCGGAGATTCTGCTTTATTTAAGGCTGGTCATAATTTGATATTGGGACATTTGGAAGTTGTTGGTAACGATAGTTGCTCTCGTCCCATTTGTGGTAAGTGTCATCGCCGTTGCCGACATTCTGTATACTTCAAATATGAATACTCCAAAGTGCATAGTTGGAACAGTGAGGGGATGCAACATATGTTAGAGAAGTTACGCTTCTTTGTTCTGTTCTTTGTCTCTCAAAAACCTCTTGGCGGCAGAGAGTATGAGGTAGCAGCGGAGTTTCTCTGGAAAAATGACTGACGGTGCGACTAAATCTTTTGCTTTTTTCCTTTTTGGCTTATGACCACATTGATGATGGATTTGATTAGAAAGAAGACGTGCGTTGTCATGCAGGTACTATATATACTGTTTGAGAACTCTGGGAGTTACACGAGCGCGAAGCTGAACATTGTCACGTGGCTGTACATGAAAGAGTGAGAGTTTCTTTTCTTTGTTTCATTCATAATCTTAAGCAGCCAATTGAATTTTATTAACAGCTTCTTCTTCTTCTTCTTCTTCTTGTTTTTATTAAACTAAACAGATGACTCTGTTTCAAAGTGTGAAAGAGAAAGTGATTGAAGCATCTGGCGATGAAGATCTCGCAACTCAGAATGTCTTTTTTTATAATTTGCTTTTGTTCGTTCCTTTTAATAGTAACTTATTTTGTAATCTGAATGCCAAAATAACTTCTCTCTCTATCTATATTATATTATGTCTTGGCAAATTTGGGCTATGTTAGGTGGTGTGAGATGATAACCTCCGCTTATCAAAATCGTCATCTATACTTTGTATTTCCAGTTTATCAAACCTCTAATTTTTAAGCTTTCTTGTTTCTTCTCCAACATGCCTTTTTTTTTACTTTAACTTCCTTTGTTCAACTATAGTTGTATCGTCTGTCATAAAATTTCTCTATTTAATTTTTCAATTTTTAGAATATGATTAAACAGATAGATATCCGATTTCTTAACATATAAAAAGTCAGAGTGGTAGACTTTCAAACGTGTAAGGCATAATAATATACATGTTAAGAGAGCATGACAAATAAATTCAATTCACAGGTAGGACGAATTGTGGAGTATGATGAGCCGATGAAACTGATGAAGAAGGAAGACTCGTTGTTCGGGAAGCTTGTGAAAGAGTATTGGTCTCATTACCACTCCGCTGACTCATGTTGATGATAGACAAAATATAATCTCGAAAATGTAACTGTGATTTTAGGAAAAAACTGTATTGCGTGACATACTCTCCAATGAAATAAAACATTTGATAGCAAAGCTTTGACCAAAACCAATTCAAATCTGATGCGTCTACAAAACCAATTGGTCACTCATAATTGATCATGTTAACAGCTAACAGTTGACCTATATACTAATTTAATATTTTAGATAATTGGAGAAGGTTAAAATAAAAAAGAAACATAGTCATATAATGGCGGTCTCGATCTACTAATACTCAACGACCCACATTAATCGAAAAGTCTACTTATGTTTGTTTGGAAGGATTTGGTTGAGAGTTATTTATCCCCACACGCCTATTGACTTTATGAGCATGAGCTGGATTTTTATGTCTTATTAGGGGTCCCCTCTTTAATCTAAATAAAAGTATACGAGTATAGTATATTGCTTGTAATGTGGACGGAGACAGATCTTGGGAAGAAATTTTAAAAACAATTTTTGTTACAGGTTTTGTGGAAAGCAGTGCATAAGAAATGCATCTTTGGGTTTGGGTCAATTCATAATGATATAATTAAGCTGTATGTTGGTCATTGTTTACAATTTACATTTATGGTAGCTCCACAGGATTAAGAGACATAAGAGCGAGAGCACAAAAATTTAGACACACATCTATCAAAAGATTAAGGGGATTAAAAACCAAAGCAGTAAAAGATATGGGTGAAGAAAAAGGGCCAAGATGCTTGGTTTCTGATCCAGGCAAACCTCACAACCTCTCCCGTCGAGCCGGTTATAAAATTAAGCATGACTGCTTTGTGTGCGGGGAAAACAGTGTGGTCGACGAAAACCGCTTGGTCGAGGAATACAGAGAGTACGAGGAAAAAGGCTATTTCGAGAGGAGACCATTCCTGGAGGCGTTTGAGCGTAATCGTTACCATTACTACTGCGCCAAATGCGATCTCGAGTTCCACAGTGAATGTATTAAGTTTCCAAGTAAGATGATTCATCCTTACCACCCTCAACACCCTCTCACTTTCACCTTTCTTAACTACGAAAAAGGGATCATGGCCGACACCAGTTTCCGTGAATTCTATCACGTTCTAGCTTCTTTTGAAATGGATTTGGCTGAATACCTCAAAAGAATTCGGCCAAAATCCAATATTATGTTTGATAAATGCACTTGGTGTCGAAACCATCTCGGGGAGTGGTTCTATCGTTGTTCTATATGTAACTTTTCCTTGGATTTCCATTGTGCCCAAAAATTTCCACCTCTTACAATCCAAAATCCAAAAAGCCATCACCATTCACTCACCTTGTTTCCTCGACCTCTCTCATTTCCTTGTGATGCTTGTGGGTTGATCAACGTCTTGGAACCAAGTTATGCATGTTACCAATGCAGTTACGTGGTTCACAAGATTTGTATTGATTTACCCCGAGTTATAAAGATCACGCGTCACCCTCATCGACTATCCTACGCTCCTTATCTTCCTACCAAAGTTTCCTCTTGCCGGGTTTGTTACAAGAATATGGACATCAAGTATGGTCACTATTCTTGCAACCATGAGGATTGCTCTTATGTAGTCCATTCAAAATGTGCTACCCATGAAAATATATGGGATGGGAGAGAATTTGAATGGGAGCCAGAATCCAATCAAACTGAAGATATCCCACCATTCATAGAGGTAGGTAAGGATATGATTGAGCATTTTTGTCATGCTCACCATATTCTAAGGCTCGAGAAATCAGTCGACTCAGAAAAGCAATGCCATGCATGTATCCGTCCTATCGGTTTTCGTGATTTCTACAATTGTATCAAATGTGACTTCTTACTCCACGAGGTATGTGCTAATCTTCCACGGAACTTGATCATGCGTTGCATAAGCACCCTCTTTTCCTAGACGCGGAGTCTCTATGTTCGGAGTACCGGGACTCAAGTTGCTCAGCTTGTACCCGATTGTCGAGTGGTTTGAAGTACAAATGCAAAGAAATAGGATGTATGAGTCACATTCAGCTAGGTATTACCTGCATTTTAGTTCCTGAGTGTTTCACCCATAAAAGTCATGAAGAGCATCTCCTATTCATCTCCACTACCAACGATGAAATTATCTGCCAAGGTTGCAATGGGAGTATTCAAGGGGATCATCTACATTGTACTGAGTGCGAATATTCGATATGCTACAAATGTGCCACGATTCCAAATGAGATATACCACAAATATGATGACAGTCCTCTCTCCCTTTGTTACGGGAAAAGTGATGTGGACGATGATGAGGTGTGGTGGTGCGAAGTATGTGAGGAAAGATTAGACCCAAGGGAATGGTTCTACACAACGAATAGCAGTGATCAACGTTGCACCACAATCCACCATGCATGTTTATTCGGTGATTCTACTTATCTGAAGGCTGGTCATATATTTAGCGGTCTACGTGTGGAAGTTGTTGGCAATGGTAGTAGCTCTCGTCCCATTTGTAGTATATGTCACCACCGTTGCCCACAGTCTGTATACCTCAAAGTGCGTGGTAAGAAGAGGAGAAATGTAAGATCTACTGAAGAAGAAGGTACAATTATTTGTTCAGCTCGTTGTCTCTCAGCCTCACACATCCCTTGGCTGCGCTCCCTATTAGAGAATATATTGTGATAAGGTTCAATAAGTTGGAGATAAACATAGAGTATATTACGATAGCTTATAAGTCGGATTAGATAAGGATTACACATGTATATAAATACCTTGTATGTTCGATCTATTATGAATAACACAAACATATTTACCAAAGTCAGATTTTTACACTCCCCAATGCCCCCATCCGTTCCCCGTTTTATTTGATTTTGTTACGAGAAATATCAGTTTGTTTGTTTGTTTTGTTTGTCTTTTGGGTTTGTTGTTAACTTCTGTGTTCAGACCACATAATTAAAGAACAAATTTCTTCTGATTTCCATTTTTTCTTTATTTTGGGTTTCAATTTCAAAGCATGATGAAACCAATAGTTATCCGATTTCTTAACATATAAAAGCCTGCCTGATAAACTCTCAAACTTATGAAGCCAGCATAAGTGTATATACACGTTGAGAGAGCATGACCAATAAATGAATTCATGGTACAACAAGTCTTGATCTGGGTAATGTTTGGCATCCTAAAACCCGTACACAAAGTCAAAAGAGAGACAAAATGCTTCTCTATCATAAAAAAATGGATCATAGGGATTGTATTGTACCATAAGTTAAAGCTCTGTTGATCTGAACCGGGGCACAATTCTTCATTAACTGGCTAAATTTTGTTTCTCCACAAGCACGAAAAACTCCTCCCTCATCCATTAGTAGAGCATTTTGAGACCGTCAAATCACTTAGCTGAGCTTTTTGCAACACATTCCTCTATTCAGTCATCTTCTCAGGCTTTGTAGTGTGGTTCTCTGAGTGACCTCCCCGTTTGTTTGTGTCAGCTAATTCCTCTGTGGTCTCAACAATCTCCATACTCGCTGTTCTACTTCTTCTGTTCCTCCGCTCCTGCTAAAACAAAACACTTTCTCTTACAACATTCCTAAAGATTTTGCTGATATATGTGAACATAACAACTGCTGTAGTAGATCTGGACCATCACTAGGTACAGCAATAAAGTTTCAATATTTCTCAGATAATCCATCCAAAAACCTTGAATTAAGTATTCTGTACCTCGCGGAAAACGTTGTCATCGGATTCAAGCATACGCACAACCTGGCTCATTTTGGGCCGTTTCTCTGATTCAGGATCTACACATCTCAGGGCAACAAGAAGTGCACGTTTCAGAGCACGTGTAGCTGGTCTTGGCTCAATCCTTGGATCAACAACTTCTTCAGCTCTTCTTGTTCCTACCATCATTTTTAGCCATTCAACTAGATTCACCTACCAACAAGAGAAACACGCACGTTTTAGCACCAAACCTACATATTCATAACTCTTGGATACACTGAAAATAGCCTACCTCATTAGCAGGACGTTCATAGTCAACTGGATCTCTCCCAGTTATAGCTTCTAGAAGAAGGACACCAAAGCTATAAATGTCGCTCTTCTCATTGAGTAGACCTGTATTAGCATATTCGGGTGCTACGTACCTAATTCACATACACTTGACCTTTAATAAGACGAAGACCACACAAAAAGAGAACCTTTCTTTCCAAAGAGTGTACAGAGTTAAGACTTACCCAAAGGTGCCCATGACTCTTGTCGTGATGTGACTCTCACCCGAGTCTAAGAGCTTGGCTAACCCGAAATCGGAAAGCTTTGCATTGAAGTCATCATCAATCAGGATATTGCTCGCTTTTATGTCTCTGTGGACTACTTTTGGTTCTATTGCTTCATGCAAATAAGCAAGCCTGTAAATACAGTGCAGATCATGTCAATATCTCCTTAAAAGAATTGTCTATAAAATTTCAAGTAAAAGGTCCAACAACAGTGGACAAATCTAACCAACTTACGCTTGTGCAGTACCGATAAGGATCTTCATTCGTGACTCCCAAGTGAGAGTGCTATGTTTCCCCATGTCTCCATGTAACCATTGTTCCAAGTTACCACTATTCACATACTCATAAACAAGCATCCTGCAATACATTCAAACAGAAATTAATACACTGGACTATTTTCTAAGATTGCTCAGAGCATATTCAGACTGATAAAGAGGCAAATGAGTCTCACCTGTGAACACCCTCTATGCAATATCCTAGAAGCCTGACAAGATTCTTGTGCCGTACATGACCAATAGCCTCAACTTCAACTCGAAATTCCTTCTCAGCCTGTCCCCTAGAGACAAAATTGTGATAGGATGATTAAACAAGTTCAAAGCAAACAAACCACAGGATTAACAGACATTTGATGATCCAAAACAAAAACTCACAGATTGTTGAGAAGCTTCTTTACAGCAACATCGTTACCATTAATGAGTCTACCCTTATAAACTACTCCATAACCACCCTCACCGATCACATTTTCTGGAGCAAAACGGTTGGTGGCTAGCTGAAGATCCCTAAGAGTAAACCAGTGTCCCCAACCGAGATGAGATATCTCTGGCAAACCAACCAAAGGAGACGCTGTCACAAGCCCACCCTGCGGTAGCGAAGACTGTCTCCAAGCGGTTCCAAAACTTCCTTCTTCACCGGAGTGAGAGCTACAAGCTCTCTCATGATGATGCACAGAGCTACACTGGCTTACACTATCATTATCACTAGACTTCGTTCTTCCCAAGTAAGACATCATCTTCCCTGAGTTTCTGTCACTCGATTTATCAGCAATCACGATACCTAAATTATCATTGTGGTTCTGAAACCGAGCCCTATCATCAACTCTGATATCTTTCGCCACGTTCGGTATTTGACTGAAAGGTAACAGCTTCTGAGATGTTCGTCTCCGGGACTTTCGACAGAATGCAATCCATAGAGATACGATGCAGAGAAGAAAAACTACAGATAAGCCAACTACCAAACAAACCAACACCCACAGTTTCACACCAATAAAACCCAAAAATGAGATCTTCTTCGACATTTCAGCACTCAAAGGACTATCGGATGACATATTTGGTTCTGTATCTGGTCGCAAATGGCCTTCCTTTTGCTCACAGCTTCACAAATCTCACCTAACAAACAAGAAAAAAGCGTCATTTTTGAAACCTTGACATACAACAAGAGGACTAAGACATGAGACATCACTAACTTTCACAAATCTTACAAGCAAAGGAGGAAGAGACGTAATATGAAATCTGGGATGTTTAGACAAATGGAAGAAGCTAATAAAGCTGCCGACTCAGAAGTCTGCAATAACCACTAGGACCAGAAATGCTGACACATACAGACTCAAGAATCATCAAAAAAAAAAGCACGCGCAATTTCGGCAATTAATTGCGGCATATCAACAAACAAGTTATGGGCATAAAATTTCCAACATTTGTCACCGAGCTAAAATTGAGGAGGAAAAAAAAGGAAACCCAGCTCTCAAACCATTGGAAAAGAATCACTTATGATTGAAGCAAGAGACATTTATATAGAGAAGAATCACCGAAAGAAAAAGCAGGTTTTTTTATACTGGTCCATGAATTTTTACCTTGTAAGAATGTGGCGACTAAGCTCTTCTTGTTCATACGCTTAGAACAGAAGAAACCGAAGAATAAAGGTTACGCTTTTCTCTGATTTTGAAGCCCAGAGAGAAAGTGAATTGAAGAAGAGAACGCAATTAGCATAGATACTAATGGTGAATTGGTGATGGTGAATTGCAATTTAAGTTAAGCTTTAAAGCCCACAAAATACACCCAGAAGAGAAACTTGAAGAAAGATGGGAAATTTACTCGAGTGTTGAAGAATGGAGAGTATATAGATAAAATGTATGTGAGGATTAGAGAGAGATAGGGTTTGTAGAGTAGTAATTAGTGAGGGGGGCTAAAAGGGGAAAAAAGTTGGGTGAGATTGTTGGTGAGTCTGTTCTAAAGCTGGAAAGGAAAGCTTTGATTTGCAATTTGAGGAAACAAAAAACAAGAAAGAAAGTGAGAGAGAGAGTGAAAAAGAAAGATGAAGAGCAGTGAAGGGAAAGCAAAGAAGGTGATCTTTGACAACTGTGTCATTTATAGCTACATGAACATCATTATTTTTATAAATTTTTATATATATATTTTTTGTTAAAATAAATTTTATATTTCATTGAAATTGTATGTATACTGAAAAGAAAAATGGAGAAAGAAAGAAAAAAACCAAAGTGGATAGAGATTAGACAGAGCAAAGTACGAAAGAGGGAATTCTCCGTCTGCAGGCGTCGGAATTTTAGGTCCTTCTTATCTTCTTCTGTGTACCAAGTTTCATGACTTCTTGTTTGACTTAAAATTTTTAAAATCACTATAGAGGAGACTGGAGAATGTTAGTTGAATTTAGTTTGATTATCACTATACTAAGTTTCATTAAATTTGTAACTCTATATTTTCTGATATTTTTTCTTCTATGTATCCCCCATTTTTTCCGGGAATGTATTCACACTATTAGCATTTTGTTTTTTTTATCTCATATACAAAACAGCAATTGTCACATGCAAGAAAAAACCAAAGAGTTTTAAGTTTCATCATATATGCCTCGGACATTTAATTGGAGTGTATCGAGCAATAACTATAAGATACTAATACTATAATCCTCGAGAAACAAGTCAACAAGAACTATCGAATTTTCATGATGTGCATACAAGAATTTAGGGTCAATTCAACATTTTTCCTCATCGACTTTTCACCGCAATTAGTGTTAATACAGAGTATTAAACAATTAATGATCAACACCATAAGAAATCAATTAACATTGCTATTATTAAATACCATATGTCAAAATCATTGGTGATAAGTACAACACATGAGTGATGATGACTGATGAGAGTGAGGTGTCCAATTCCAACGAACCAAAACAACTATAGACCCTATCACTTATAGACAACTATCGAGGTATACTGTAATTTCTAAACGACACCGTTCCAAAAGAAGAACGTTGTTACTTAAGACCCACGAAACCAAGAAAACAGAGTGTTTTTGGTTACTTGTACGAAGAAGCTGCTTTGTCTTTCCGACCAGCAAGGATCATAGAGATCTGAAGTCCTCTGCTAAAAGCTTGATTGAATAGAAGACGAGCTTGAAACTCGGAAACAATGGG